CGATCTCCCCAAAACCCCAAAACCCCTTAAGACAAGTTAGAATGAAATATCGAATATTAATAAGTGAATTTTATATTCTGGTCCTTAAATAATAGCCTATTTTAATTGGCTTTAACTACTTTGAAGATTTATAATCCTTTTCATATCATAGCACCTCAATAATCCAAGTCAAATAAGAATCTCTTCTTTTTAATACTTCCAAAAGCAGTAGTTTACTATTAGTTTTGATCCTTTATGATCATTTCATCATCTAAAATTGCAATCAAGTAATTTATTACTTACCATTTTCAAGATAAGAGCTTTCATCGATGCCAGTCTTTTCAATTCTAGTGTTAAGAGTGATTCTACTATTTGTTATGAACTAGCTATCATTGTGAATCAGTCTCTTAGTTGACTGAGTGATTGGGGCTAACTACTTCTTATTAGATTTGGGTCTGGGTACCTTAGTCAACTGCTTCATAATTTTTCCCTATTTAATCTAGCTATGATCTGGGAGGAACAAACTAAAGTCTCTAGCAAGCTTGCTTTATGCAATAATGCTTTTTTTCATAATTTTTTTCTTCAATTAAGATTTTTTACCTTTTTACATTTAAGTGCTTTTGTTCATTTCAGGAATATCATTAAGCCTGTTTTCAATAAGGAAGGAGTCTTATTGAGCCTTAGCAAGTTTATCCATCATCTTTGTAGAGCTGATAGATGATTCTTTGCGTGTTTGTTTCCTGGAAAATTGCTTCACTAATATTTACTGGCCTAATCTTTTCCTGATATATTTGGCATATTCTCTTTAATCAGGAGGGAAAAGGCAAACTTTCTTTAAAAGATAGAATGCTTTCTTGGCGAATTTATTCTTGAAAGTTGAGCAAAAGCACATTAACCACAACATGAAAAATCTCAAGTTGAATACTACAATAGCCACAAAGACAATGAGCTGAATTTGATCTGAAATTCGGCTTTCAACAAAGAAAAATGATCCAAAGAATGTTATACAAATCAATATGTACTAAGTTCTTTCCAATATGTTGAGCAAAGGATTTCTGTATGGTTTAATATTTTGTTGAATCAGCAAGAATGAGCCAAATACAAAAATAACAACAAAAGCTTGAAAGAGTAGAGAGTAAGCACTCAGAATCACATTGAAGAATGAAATGAAAGTCTTCATAATGATAATGATAAACTCCCAATAGAAGTATTTAGTTTTTAACCCTTAATAAATTATTCTGTATTTCTCAATTAACCCTGGATCACTTAGTCTTTTTCTTCTTTTATAAAGATAGCTAAACCCATAAGCTGGAACGCCTATCACCCAAAATACTATAATAGGAAAGCCAAATATAAAGGTCCATTTCTAATGAGAATCCTCCCAGCATCTAACTGAAAGATCATTGTAAAGGTAATATTAATTATTGTCAAGTTTCAAGCAAAAGAATAGCTCGGTTGAAAACTTAACAAGTGTAGGATGGATTGCGTAAATAATTATTAAAGTAGTCACAATCATCTATCTCTTTAGAACTCCTAATGAATAAGATTTAATCAATCTCATAATCTAGAACAAGGATATAAATATAGCTAGCAAAAGCAAAGGAACTACAGAGAGTACAGCAATCTTAATAAATAGGTTTGGTATTGAGTTCTTTGATATTTCATAATCTCTTAATAAGCAGTCTATAGAGACTATAGTTTCAGCCGAATCACCGATGAAATCAAAGATCAAGAAGAAATCCTATAGACTCTTTGGCCATTTTAGTTCAAAAGCAGAGGATGTAGAAGTAATCTAAATATAACTGATAAGCATACGAAGCACTACACTAGTTTCACTTTCATTTTTATTTCTTAAATTGTACCAGATATAGAGACCCAAAATTAATACAAACGCAAAAAATACTCCAAGTAGCTTGAAAGCATTGCTTACTTCATTTGGGCATGCTCCACACTTAGAATGGGTTATCTTTGCGAATTTTCTCCCTTCAATGTTTAAGCATTTGTCACAGAGATTTCCCCCATAACCCTATGCACACAAAGGATCCAAGACTTAGGGGGGATTTGAACTTGGAAGTGGAATAAGTCCACCTACACAAGCTGAGATAGATTTGCATTGTAAGATATTAGTCGAATTGAATGATGATCTCCAGTATCCTGGCTTTACATAAATCTAGTAACCTCCTAGGCACTCCGTATTTTATATACACTCCACACATCGAGTCGAATTTGGATATAATGAGAATTAGCCAGTTTCGCATATTAAGCACCTAATATACACATTATGTTATTATACCATTTAAACTTACATATTATCATATAGATATTCTCCCTCCTCACAGTATCTAAAGTTAAACTTCACACTGCTTTGACTGGAACTATTAGATTATGAAATATTTTTAGCTATCAAAGTTGTCATTGGATTTGTGATTATAGTTGGACTATTAATCTCGAATTCTACATCCTTTGAGCCGGGCTTAGCCATAAAAATTAAATCGTTAAATGTTGCTACACCATGCTAGACTATAACTAATGACTATGAAGCAACATTATTCTAGTTTATTGCAGGAAATATCCTCACAGCCGAATTTTGATCTGTTACTACTCTCTGATTATCCTAGTCAATAATTTCTGCAATAATCTATCCATTATATAATTGTCCACTTGCAATAGTACTATTATCATAAGATATGACTCTGGTATATATGGGATAGCTTGCGATATGACTTCCATAAGGAGCAAAGTTATTAGTATCAAAGGAGTTATTTTAAAACTAAAGTGGTCTATATTTATTGTAGGTAACACATCCACCTTGTGCTACAGCTGTATTGCCAAAGAATCTATTATTGGTGATTATAAATCTTATTTGGGTTTCTACATTGTTTTTATTAGGATTTGATTGCTTTAATTAAGCTTACAAGATGTGCTTCTGAGCGATATAGCACCTCCTTTAAATGCTTAGTTCTCAAAAAAGGTGCAATTATCAATCTCTGAATGTGTATTTTCGACTAGAATTGCTCCCCCATCTTATTTAGAAAATAATCCTTTGAATGTAGAATTTAAAAGCTTCAATACTCCATTGTAAGCTTTAATAGCTCTTGTGCTAATTTAATTAGCCCCTTTTAAGTCTAGAAATAAATATTTAATAATTATAAATTACTTTAAAAAAGAGCATTTTAGATATCTACCTTGGAGAAATATGAATAAAGGAAAGTCCTATCAAAGCTTTTAAAGGTAGAATTTGTTATTATGAAACTTTCACTCCTTAGCAAGTACATAATATAAAGTCCTTATGTTGAGATATTATTTAAGTTTGAATCTTTGATGAGAACAATCGTAAAGTCCTTATGTTGAGATATTATTTAAGTTTGAATCTTTGATGAGAACAATCGATGAATCAATAGAAATAGGCTTATCCATTTTATTCTTGTAAGTCATGTTGCTTATACTAAAATTTGTAGCAATGATTGAGGACTGCGTTATGCTCAATATCTGCAAATGTGTGTTCCTAATTGTCATATTTGTAATATCTATCTTGCTATTTAAATTAGCAACTATAAGAGCTTAGTCATGAGTTTCATTTTAATCTTCATCGAAGTATTTCAGATTTTCAACTTTCACGTTTCTGATGATTAAATAGCTTTATATCATCAGTATAAAATTAGGGTCTTCTAAACTTATGTAGCTATCTTGAATATCAATATTCTCTAGAATGATCATTCCCATAAAAGCATTGATTAAGTCTCTAAAATATTTTTAAGGAAAAAATTTACTGTGTTTATCTTAGACTAGTATTATTTAAAATTTTAATGTTAGCTTTTCGGACGCTTATCCCTTAAAAATTTTTTTATTCTGCTGGGTTCATTGCCATCAATATTTAGCTTATTCCATTAGTTAATTATGCTCTCTTATTTTCAATAAAAGTTGAGTTACTAATTATTGACCAAATATCTGCAGCTTCATTAATTGAAAGTAAGGATGTTCTTGCTGCACTATTGTACTAAAAGAATGAATTATATATTTGTATATGAGAATCACTCTTAAGGTACCCAATTCCTGCCTCTTCAGCAAAATTATAAGAAAAATGGCATTTGACAAAGATTATTGTACCCGAATACTATGAATATAAAATCCCACCATAAACAGCCTTATTTCCAAAAAAAACACTATTCATAAAGGTAGCTTTAGCGTTCTCATAGTCTTGCAATAAAACGCTCCCTCTATTAAGTCCAATTGTTTTATTAAACTATGAATTATTTACTCTAAGCATAGTGTTTGAAGATTACTTAATAAAGGTAGAATACTTTGGCTTGTTATTAAGAAATGTACAATTTGCAATTTCAATAATTGTTGGGTAGTTTAAGCTACCTATATCGCCTGATTTAAGATTTATTCCACCAATTACATTATCTTTAAATGTAGAGTTTAAAATTCTAGTTGCATTTAGAGAATTCTACTGTACTAATATGATATCTCCTTGAATGTTAAAACTATTTTTAGAGAATAAGGAATTGTAGATTACTATCATAGCTTGTTATTTGTATAGATAAGAATCTATATGTATTAAAATTTAATCCTTAACCATTGTGTTACTCAAGAATGTCATGTCCTCCATTAAAAACACATTTGTCTTTGTTATATTAGATTGAAGATCAGTCACAAACCCATTAAATTTAAGAAATTCTATCTCTGAATTTTAGTAAGTCACATTCTTAAAGTGAGAATTCGAATTCGATGACATAATGTATTGCTAATCGAATCGAATAATCATTGATTTTTTCTTTAGACTGTCAGAGTACTTAAATTTCTAAAAGAGAGTATTTTTTATCTAAAGAGTCTATGTCATATATATTCCCATGTAGTGATTCGATGAACTCAAAGCTATGAATAATCATTAAATTTTAATTTATAAGCTTACTCTCATTAGAGAAAACAGAATTGTTAATGAAAAAGGATTTGATGCCAGATGCCTACTGTATAGCTTAATAGCCATTCATAATATTATTTTAAAACCTCAAATTATTCAAATAGATCGTTGCAGTGTACAAAGTAGATGAACCTTTAAAAATGCAAGATGATGTTGAAAACTCATCAACTATATAATAGGTTATGATCATAAAAATGATAATGTAAGTAGTGGAAAATAGTACTTAGAGTTATTAAATTAAGATTACTTTATTTTAAACTTACATGTGTTGTTTATGAATTCAAAGTTATTTATTATAATTGTAGGAGTCAGACCTACTATAATAACTGCTCTTACTGTTGTTTTTGAATTTACAATACTTAGCCCATTAATATCTACTGTGCCTTAGGAGCTTATAAAATAGTGAAGGTTATTGCTATTGACTTAGGAGGCATTGTAACTTCTTAAATTATCAATTCTCATTACGGTATTTTGGTTAGTGTTTAAATAGATGAAGTTATTCTGAGATGTTATATGCTCAAATGTGATATTTTCTATCTTCAAATTTAATGTTCTGAAAGTATTATCAGATTTCATTCCAAATAGTAAGTATAATCCAATGTTTTTCCATCAAATGGAAGTTTCATCAGTGATCAATATGTTAGTAAATACTATATTTTTTTGTACGTTATCTGTATTTCTCATTGTGCATAAAGATGTAGAATCAATATATATCTAGAACTACTAAGTATCAGTCATTATCATATATGACTTCAATGTAATATTATTCCAAGTGATATTGTATAGAGTAGTAATATAAATTAAATGCTGCTAAGCATTAAGATTTCTATTTCCTCTCATTGTAAAATTTTGAAACACAATTTCTCCAACTAGTGAGTTTTGTCTCTGGAGTGTGCAATCAGATGTTAATATGATACCTTCATTAATCCAGTCTGTTATAAGCTCACTATTCAGCATTTTTATATTGATTGGATTTAAACTTTTCATTATTTTTCCATAAGCATTAAACTGAACTTTCTATAAAATCATTAAGTATATTCATTGATATTTAGTATTCTTACATCAAAAGTAATAGTTTTATTTTAAATATCATGAAAGAAAAATAATCTGCGCTAATCATTAGCCTCGATAAAATTATCTAAAAATGATGTTATTCTAGGGACAAATTTTTACTAGTGAAAATTATGTTTTCAAAGCTAACTGAACTTCTTGCAATAAGTATCTCACCTTAATATCTAAGTGTCAATAACTCTCTTGAGCTTAGTTTACCTATTCGGTTTCCAGGTTGAACGTCGTATATTTATGTCATTAGGACGAACTTTGTGCATTTATTATAACTGTAAGAAACCTAAGGATTAACAAAGATGGTTGAAAATCCAGGTTTTTATTTATCATTATCAAGTGTGTAAGTACTAAAAATTTAAGGAAGAAGGTTTTACTTGATAGTGAGGTTACGCATGTTGAAGATAGATGTCTACTAATTCAAATTTTAAAGCTGGTTAATAGTATTTTCCATTATTAGTATTTAGTATTAAACTTCCGTCCCGGCATATTAGTTGAATATTTCAATAAAAGCTGTTTGCAGTTAAGTATAAGGGTATCTCTTCGTCCCCAGTTCCAGTTCTTCTCTTGATAATGAATTTACATATATCTCCTGAACTGATAAAATGAAAATCATAAAATTACATCAGCAATATCTTAAATTTTAGGAAAGTAAAGAATGCTTTTCTATTATAAATTCATCATCTTCATCGTAACATTCATTTACGCACTTAAGGTTTTCTAAATCGAAATATTGTGACTCGTCATCGCACCCTATACATTAGCCTTCACCATAGCACATTTCTGAACTACAAGAGCAATCTAAACTTTTATTAAGTACAAAATTATTTACTGTAGCATTGTCCATTTTTAAAATACTAGTTATTGTCGCAAGATTGACATGATCCATTTTTAATGAACATATGGGAATATTCGCAAGTTAAGCATTCATTCTCAGATTTGCAACTTCTGCAACTTGTGGGACAAGCTAAAGTTTATTTAAAAAAATATTTACCTTAACAAGAAAGCATCTTTGAATCAAAATATGAGCCCTCTTTACAATTATTAGCACTTTCTAGAGCAAAGTAACTCTACACTAAAATTGCTAATAATAAAATCTTTTATGCTAGCATTTTATTCCAATTCTTAATATTGATTTATATATAGAATAAATATCGTATTTAAATCTAATTATTAATTGATGAAACTAAGTCCATGATTTCAAAAAATTAATTAGTGTTCGGGGTTTTGGGGTTTTGGGGGCTCACCTTTATCTTCTATTTTTTATTAATTCCCTTCCTTAATATAATCTTACTTAGGTTAATGCTATAATTCTGATAATTTCTCATCCAAATATTAAACTATTATTTGATTTTTATGGTCCAATAGTAGAATCTTTTTAATTTAAATTTTTTTTTCAATTTTAAATTCTATTTATTTAATTCTACTTAATTCCATTTGATAATCGATTTCTTCATTTATCCATTCATATTCTGTTTCAATCTCTTATTGAATATTGCTTTCTTTTTAATTATAAATTTTAGATAATTAATCCTGTGAGTGAGACTAATAATCACTAATCAAATTCTCGGTACTCATTATTTTTAATTTAATTATTTAAGTAATATTTAATATAATTTGAGTAATATTTAAGATTTATATAGTCCTTATAAGCAAATTGATCAGAAATAATGGTTACAAATTGATGAAATTTTATGCTTATAATAATATTTAATAATTCTAAATTACTTGAAAATAGAGCATTTTATATATCTATCTTGGAGAAATACGAATAAAGGAAAATCCTATCAAAGTTTTTAAAGGTAGAATTTATTATTATAAAACTTTCACTCCTTAGCAAGTACATAATGTAAAGTCCTTATGTTGAGATATTATTTAAGTTTGAATCTTTGATGCGAACAATCGACGAATCAATAGAAATAGGCTTATCCATTTTATTCTTGTAAGTCATGTTGCTTATACTAAAATTTGTAGCAATGATTGAGGACTGCGTTATGCTCAATATCTGCAAATGTGAGTTCCTAATTGTCATATTTGTAATATCTATCTTGCTATTTAAATTAGCGACTATAAGAGCTTAGTCATGAGTTTCATTTTAGTCTTCATCAAAGTATTTCAGATTTTCAACTTTCACGTTTCTGATGATTAAATAGCTTTATATCATCAGTATAAAATTAGGGTCTTCTAAACTTATGTAGCTATCTTGAATATCAATATTCTCTAGAATGATCATTCCCATAAAAGCATTGATTAAGTCTCTAAAATATTGTTAAGAAAAAAATTTACTGTGTTTATCTTAGACTAGTATTATTTAAAATTTTAATGTTAGCTTTTCGGACGCTTATCCCTTAAAAATTTTTTTATTCTGCTGGGTTCATTGCCATCAATATTTAGCTTATTCCATTAGTTAATTATGCTCTCTTATTTTCAATAAAAGTTGAGTTACTAATTATTGACCAAATATCTGCAGCTTCATTAATTGAAAGTAAGGATGTTCTTGCTGCACTATTGTACTAAAAGAATGAATTATATATTTGTATATGAGAATCACTCTTAAGGTACCCAATTCCTGCCTCTTCAGCAAAATTATAAGAAAAATGGCATTTGACAAAGATTATTGTACCCGAATACTATGAATATAAAATCCCACCATAAACAGCCTTATTTCCAAAAAAAACACTATTCATAAAGGTAGCTTTAGCGTTCTCATAGTCTTGCAATAAAACGCTCCCTCTATTAAGTCCAATTGTTTTATTAAACTATGAATTATTTACTCTAAGCATAGTGTTTGAAGATTACTTAATAAAGGTAGAATACTTTGGCTTGTTATTAAGAAATGTACAATTTGCAATTTCAATAATTGTTGGGTAGTTTAAGCTACCTATATCACCTGATTTAAGATTTATTCCACCAATTACATTATCTTTAAATGTAGAGTTTAAAATTCTAGTTGCATTTAGAGAATTCTACTGTACTAATATGATATCTCCTTGAATGTTAAAACTATTTTTAGAGAATAAGGAATTGTAGATTACTATCATAGCTTGTTATTTGTATAGATAAGAATCTATATGTATTAAAATTTAATCCTTAACCATTGTATTACTCAAGAATGTCATGTCCTCCATTAAAAACACATTTGTCTTTGTTATATTAGATTGAAGATCAGTCACAAACCCATTAAATTTAAGAAATTCTATCTCTGAATTTTAGTAAGTCACATTCTTAAAGTGAGAATTCGAATTCGATGACATAATGTATTGCTAATCGAATCGAATAATCATTGATTTTTTCTTTAGACTGTCAGAGTACTTAAATTTCTAAAAGAGAGTATTTTTTATCTAAAGAGTCTATGTCATATATATTCCCATGTAGTGATTCGATGAACTCAAAGCTATGAATAATCATTAAATTTTAATTTATAAGCTTACTCTCATTAGAGAAAACAGAATTGTTAATGAAAAAGGATTTGATGCCAGATGCCTACTGTATAGCTTAATAGCCATTCATAATATTATTTTAAAACCTCAAATTATTCAAATAGATCGTTGCAGTGTACAAAGTAGATGAACCTTTAAAAATGCAAGATGATGTTGAAAACTCATCAACTATATAATAGGTTATGATCATAAAAATGATAATGTAAGTAGTGGAAAATAGTACTTAGAGTTATTAAATTAAGATTACTTTATTTTAAACTTACATGTGTTGTTTATGAATTCAAAGTTATTTATTATAATTGTAGGAGTCAGACCTACTATAATAACTGCTCTTACTGTTGTTTTTGAATTTACAATACTTAGCCCATTAATATCTACTGTGCCTTAGGAGCTTATAAAATAGTGAAGGTTATTGCTATTGACTTAGGAGGCATTGTAACTTCTTAAATTATCAATTCTCATTACGGTATTTTGGTTAGTGTTTAAATAGATGAAGTTATTCTGAGATGTTATATGCTCAAATGTGATATTTTCTATCTTCAAATTTAATGTTCTGAAAGTATTATCAGATTTCATTCCAAATAGTAAGTATAATCCAATGTTTTTCCATCAAATGGAAGTTTCATCAGTGATCAATATGTTAGTAAATACTATATTTTTTTGTACGTTATCTATATTTCTCATAGTGCATAAAGATGTAGAATCAATATATATCTAGAACTACTATGTATCAGTCATTATCATATATGACTTCAATGTAATATTATTCCAAGTGATATTGTATAGAGTAGTAATATAAATTAAATGCTGCTAAGCATTAAGATTTCTATTTCCTCTCATTGTAAAATTTTGAAACACAATTTCTCCAACTAGTGAGTTTTGTCTCTGGAGTGTGCAATCAGATGTTAATATGATACCTTCATTAATCCAGTCTGTTATAAGCTCACTATTCAGCATTTTTATATTGATTGGATTTAAACTTTTCATTATTTTTCCATAAGCATTAAACTGAACTTTCTATAAAATCATTAAGTATATTCATTGATATTTTTTTCTTACATCAAAAGTAATAGTTTTATTTTAAATATCATGAAAGAAAAATAATCTGCGCTAATCATTAGCCTCGATAAAATTATCTAAAAATGATGTTATTCTAGGGACAAAATTTTACTAGTGAAAATTATGTTTTCAAAGCTAACTGAACTTCTTGCAATAAGTATCTCACCTTAATATCTAAGTGTCAATAACTCTCTTGAGCTTAGTTTACCTATTCGGTTTCCAGGTTGAACGTCGTATATTTATGTCATTAGGACGAACTTTGTGCATTTATTATAACTGTAAGAAACCTAAGGATTAACAAAGATGGTTGAAAATCCAGGTTTTTATTTATCATTATCAAGTGTGTAAGTACTAAAAATTTAAGGAAGAAGGTTTTACTTGATAGTGAGGTTACGCATGTTGAAGATAGATGTCTACTAATTCAAATTTTAAAGCTGGTTAATAGTATTTTCCATTATTAGTATTTAGTATTAAACTTCTGTCCCGGCATATTAGTTGAATATTTCAATAAAAGCTGTTTGCAGTTAAGTATAAGGGTATCTCTTCGTCCCCAGTTCCAGTTCCTCTCTTGATAATGAATTTACATATATCTCCTCAACTAATAAAATGAAAATCATAAAATTACATCAGCAATATCTTAAATTTTAGGAAAGTAAAGAATGCTTTTCTATTATAAATTCATCATCTTCATCGTAACATTCATTTACGCACTTAAGGTTTTCTAAATCGAAATATTGTGACTCGTCATCGCATCCTATACATTAGCCTTCACCATAGCACATTCCTGAACTACAAGAGCAATCTAAACTTTTATTAAGTACAAAATTATTTACTGTAGCATTGTCCATTCTTAAAGTACTAGTTACTGTCGCAAGATTGACATGATCCATTTTTAATGAACATATGGGAATATTCGCAAGTTAAGCATTCATTCTCAGATTTGCAACTTCTGCAACTTGTGGGACATGCTAAAGTTTATTTAAAAAAATATTACCTTAACAAGATAGCATCTTTGAATCAAAATATGAGCCCTCTTTACAATTATTAGCGCTTTCTAGAGCAAAGTAACTCTACACTAATATTGCTAATAATAAAATCTTTTATGCTAGCATTTTATTCCAATTCTTAATATTGATTTATATATAGAATAAATATCGTATTTAAATCTAATTATTAATTGATGAAACTAAGTCCATGATTTCAAAAAATTAATTAGTGTTCGGGGTTTTGGGGTTTTGGGG